GGCGTGCGGGGCTGTACGGGCACGGCGGAGGGGCCCGGCTGAGCTTTGCTGTGCCGGGCCCTTGGAGGCGCCGAACAAAGGCAACATTATACCTTGTGCTGGGGAAGGAATGACTTGGACACACACGCAGAACAGCTCCGCCGAGCTGCGTGCCGTATAACTATCCCGGTTTGTAAAGCCCGAAGCCCATCTGACCGCAAATGATCTGTCCCCCTAATAAATACGTGAATGAAAGAGCAAGGCCGTATTTTTTTGTTGTTGTTTTCCTTCCTCTCCTGCACGCAAACCCCCGATGTCTTTTAGGTGATGCAGAGGTGTCTGCCCGCAGGCGTACAAGGCGTTTCAGAGAGCAGACCGGAGCACAGAGTCTTCGAGGGCTGGTGGGCGCCCGCCAAGAGGAGGTCAGGTCGGGCTGCGGAGGCAAGGGCCGGAGCAGAACCGATGGTGGGTGGATGAGAAGTTCCTCGGCTGCATAAAGCAGCTTTTCTTTCTGCGTGAGCCCTGGTGGAAGCCCTGGAGAATACAGGCTCTGTGTTTGTCCTGGCCCCAGCGGTGCGGAGATCTCCTGTCCCCCCGCCGGCATCCCCGCGCCCGGCCCGGAGGTCAGGGGTTTGCTTGGGGGATGCTTCGTCCCGCGTGTGCTCAGAGCAGCCCCACAGTGACAGACCCGTGCTCGGAGACGGCCCTGGCAGAGCTCCTGCTGCCCGGGGCTGTGGCTTGCCACCAGGCAGCCTGAGCAGCGGGACAGCGGAGAGGACGAGAGGCCTTGTAGGAGGCGAGTGGAGAAGAGCAAAGACCCTGAGGTGCTCAGGGAGCCCCCCCGCAAGCCAGAAGAGCCTGGGCAAGCGCCCCGGGGCACTACAGCAACAAAGAACGCTACGGGTGGGAGAAGGGCGTTCACACGCCTTGGAATAAGGCTGAGGAGCCATGTGCGGTGCAAATCCTCCCGGCGGCCCCGGAGACAGCTTCCAACAGCGACGCAGCAACGTCCCCCCCAGCACACTGGGACGCCCAGTTTGGGTTGGGCACCAGTTACCCCATGGGAGGTGCCCGGCGTGACCCGTGGCCGTGGCTCCCCACTTCTCCTGCAGCGTCGGGGGCCACTGGGAGGCCGCAGAACTCCGCGGGGGAGCCCAGGGCGGCGCTGGGCTGCAGCCGTCCCTTGGAGCACAGCCCCGCTCGCTCAGGTTTACACCCGTGCACATGTCGGCGATCTGCTCGTTACTGCGATGCACAGTTAATTGTTATCTCTCTGTTTATTATCGTGATGAATAACTGAAGAGTCGCAATTCTGTATACACAAATGTTCCAGCTAAACGCTCGCTGGAGGACGCTGGGGGAGTCGCTGGGCTGACAGCTCAGTTTACAGAGTATATTCCTGTAGCTCAGTTCACAATAACAAACAGATTTCCACAGATCATAATGTTTTCTAACCCGGTGTTCATGAAGCCTCCCGGAGCAGCTTCACCGTGACTTCATCCCCCCATCCAGCGCGGTGCGCAGGACGGGACGGGGGGGCCGTGACCCCCGCTGGGACGGACCCATGCGGGAGGTGCCTGGCGAGAGGAGCCGTGGGGACGCCGCTGCTGCAGAGCTGAGCCCGCGGGTGGAGCAGAGCCTGGGGACGCGCTCGACGCCGCGCAGCTGCCGCACAACCTCTGCCAACACCTCGTGGTCTCAAACACCGGGATCGTCCCTCCCGGCCTGGTAAAACCCAGAGGCAGCCAAAGGACGTGCAGCGTCCCGGGGACCCGGCAGCTTGGGGGGGCTTTAGAAGAGCCGGCCCGCAGACACCCCATCGGAGCCAGGAGCTGAAACGGCCTTTTTTTGTCCCCCGTGTCTGCAAGAGGGCAGCTCACCAGCGGCACAAGGGGCCACGCCAGTGCCCACCGCAGCAGCTCATGGATCTCCACCGGCCACCAGTGCCTCACTGGGAGAGGGAGATGCTTCTGCTCCAAAGAAAAAGGGACCAGTGGGAGCCTGGGGGTACCGGTGCCGCCTCACCGTGAGCAGCTCCCGCAGGAGGGGTGGTTGAGGGATGCTCTGAGACTGGAGGACAGAGGAGATGGGGGACTGAGGCGTTTAAAGATGTGCTGGATCTTCTTGCTAAGCCCTCGCTGCCTTCTCTGCGCTCCTGCTGGGGAGGGAGGATAGGGAAGACTGGAAGCACCCAAAAGATTTGCTGCATTTTTCTCTCCTGGCTCGTTTGCTCGCTGTCACCCAGACCAGGCTGACGCCACGCTCCTCTCCTGATTTCCACCCTCGCCAGGCTGGGAGTGGGGAGCAGTCAACCCTTCCGCCGTCCCGGCTTGGGGCCAGCAGCCGCCCAAGGATGGGGCTGCCCGTTGCTCCCTCGGTGAGGCCGGGAGCCCCGCTCTGCCGGGCAGAGCTCCCACAGCAGCGACTGATGGTTTCTGCTGGAGCAGTGGTTACCTTCGCGGGGTTTCATTCCAGTTTCCTCAGTGACATCCGTGGGGCTGGAGCGGGACAGCGGCCAGGTCGTCCCTCCATGGTGGGAAGAGCTGTGTTCTGTGGAAAACGTCTCTGCCACGAAGCAAATTGCAAGCCGGGCTTGCGGGGAGCTGCTGATTTGTCACAGGCGTGGAGCAACCCGAGGTTTGCAAGCAAATTATTGCTCAACCTGCCCCAGATAACACCTTGCACGGCAGGGTCGGGAAGGGGAATTTGCTGCCCCAGCTGCTGGAAAATGGAGCCAAAACGCCCTTTGTTCCTTCTGGGGTTTCTGCACATCTCTTAGGCCCTGGTTGAATTTTCTATCAGGGACAGCTGCTGGGCACACACCTCGCCTGCTCCTCCAGCTGCACAGACGTGCTCAGCCCCGATTGCCGCCGTGATAATTCCTGAACTTTTCTGCCTGCTCTGCGCCGGTGGGGGAATCCTGCAGCATGCACCGGCAGACTCCCGTGCCCACCATCTCTGGTCCACGGCTGCCTGATGAACCTGCCCGGAGTCCCAGCCCCAGCTCGGGTCGCTGCTGGTGCATCCTGGTGCGGGGCAGAGCCCGCGGCCCTCCAGGCCACAGCTCTCGCGGCACTGGGGTCTATCGTGCTGGTTTTGGGGCCTGGCTCACGCTGCTTGAGCACTGGCGGTTGCATACAGCACCCGGCATGCTCACAGGTGAGTGTGGGGGGGAGATGGAGGCCAGGGCTCGGCAGGTCAACGGGGAGAGCTCGGCCCCGAGCCACGGCACAGCCAGAGCGTGGGCAGCGGGCGCAGGAGCCCCTCTGGCCTTTTGTTGCTCCAGGTTGCACCCCCTTTGCACGGCTGGCAGCCGGCAGCTCGCCCCCCAGCACGGCGCAGCGATGGGGTTTTGGGGGACAAGGGGCGATTCTCTCTGTGGTGCGAGCGTGGGGTGGAGCAGGGTACAGGGATGATGCCGGCATCCCGCCACCACCCCAGGGTGTCCCTGCTCATCCCTCTCCCCCGTGCCCTTCTCTCCACCGCAGCAAACGGCCCTTTTATCTCTTGGGTAGGTACAAATGGAGCTGTCAGATGCGATCAGCCCCACGATATGACAGGTTGCGGGAGCCGGGGCCCCTCGAACAGAGTAGCCTTGTCTGTCAGAGCTGCCTGACACTCCCCATAATGGCCAGATGGATGAGACTCTGAAAGTAGGGCCCGGCGCGTTTTCAACTCTATTTTGGGTGAAAACACTTCTTGAAAGATCTTGAAAGGAGCTGGCAGTTTAGTAGTTCAAATGATTAATGAGCACTGGCTCTGCCGGGTGGATTTCTCGCGCCGTGCCAGCAGCTGGGCTGCTCCAGCGGGCCAAGACACGCTGCACTCCCCCCGGCTCCCCCCCGCGCCCC